TATCCACTCTATCCACCTTCACCACTCTCACACAGTTACCACCACTACCACCCTCACACTATCACCACTCTCACACAGTTACCACCACTACCACCCTCACACAGTTACCACCTCATAACTCCCAGCTCCAACGAATTAGTGTGTTGGCTCCCAAAATAGAACCAATGTGCAAATATTTGCACACAAGGGGAGTGCTGTGTGTGGGGTCTGCATGATGAATCTGATCTGGCTATACTGCTTTTTAACATACAAGGTTGGAGATATACCCTGATGTGTGTATTTATACTTGAGTATACGTCAGTAGCAGCATATTAGAGCATACATTTATGTACATATATATATATATATATATATATATATATATATATATATATAATATATATATATATATATAATATATATATATATATATATATCATAATAGATATATATATATATATAGATATATATATCTATATATATATCATATATATATATATATATATATATCATTATATATATATATATATAATGATATGCAGCAATGTAAATTGATATAAATATTGAGAAATATCCAAACATAAAATGCATATAAATTTACAAAAATGTCTAAATATATATTGTATATAAGTATGAGATTGAAATCCGAATTATTTGTACTTCAAAAACATTAAACAAATTCAATATTTAAAATTTTCGTAATAATAATAAAAAATACAAATAATAATAATATTAATAATATTAATAAAAATAATAATATGAATATGAATAATAAAATCAATATTAATTGAATCAGAAATAATTTTTCTAGTGTCATTTTACATTTTAATATTACTAACACTGCTACCAGTAATACTACTACAACAACTCACAGAACACACAGAAATCGTGGTGTAGTGGTAAGACACTCGCCTGGCGTTCCGCGAGCGCTATGTCATGGGTTCGTATCCTGGCCGGGGAGGATTTACTGGGCGCAATTCCTTAACTGTAGCCTCTGTTTAACGCAACAGTAAAATGTGTACTTGGATGTAACAACGATTCTTCGCGGCGGGGATCGTATTCCAGGGACTATAGGATTAAGGACTTGCCCGAAACGCTACGCGTACTAGTGGCTCTACAAGAATGTTACAACTCTTGTATATATCTCAAAAAAAAAATAAAAAAATCACAATAGCGTGATGTATCAAATGAACAAATCCACAAGGGCCGTGACGAATTCTTTTTACAATGTCGTAGCTCAGTCGATTAAGACAGCGTCTGGGATGCTCTCGGACGTAGGTTCGAATCCTCGTCACGGTCTTTGTGGATCTGTTCGTTTAACTCACAGAAATCACATTAACGTGATATATATATCAATGATAAAATCCACTAGGGGGGTGTGAGGTGGATGCGAATCTACGACCCTGGCATTGCCAAGTCGCATACACTACCAGTAGACCATCGATCACTTGTAAAAGTCATGCAACCTGATTTCTACTTCAGAAAAATACAGAAAACACACTTTTCTGTATGTTAAGGTGTAGGACCACTTGGCTCTTCCACCCGAGTGCTTGTGGGTTATACATAAAAACTTGGCCTGGTTTCAGACGGAGCCTCCGGACTTCCTGTGATTTCAGCAGAAATCAGGTTGTATGACTTTTATAAGTCATCGATGGTCTACTGGTTGAGTATGCGACTTGGCAATGCCGGGGTCGAAGGTTCGCGCCCACCTCACAGCCCTAATGGATTATCTCACTACTACAACAAATAATAATAATAATAGTTATGGGAGAAGAAGAATATGATGTCGGGTCGTCGCACAAATGTACACTTGTCTCCTTGTCCCATCCCCCTTCCATCATCCACTCAAGAACACACAGGCGGGACCAAAGAGCCAAAGCTCAACCCCCCGCAAGCACAATCAGGTGAGTACACACACACACACAAAAGACAAACGCTTTCTCCCTTCAAACGTCCATCAAGCTGACGGGGCATAAAAAGTTAAACACAGCAACTGAAAATAGTGGAAATTACGCTTCTCTCTGTCTCTCTCTGTCTCTGTCTCTGTTTCTCTTCTCTCTCTCTCTCTCTCTCTCTCTCTCTCTCTCTCTCTCTCTCTCTCTCTCTCTCTCTCTCTCTCTCCCTCTCTCTCTCTCTCTCTCTCTCTCTCTCTCTCTCTCTCTCCTCTCTCTCTCCTCTCTCTCTCTCTCTCTCTCTCTCTCTCTCTCTCTCTCTCTCTCTCTCTCTAACTCTCTCTCTCTCTCTCTCCTCTCTCTCTCTCTCCCCTCTCTCTCTCTCTCTCTCTCTCTCTCTCCCTCTCCCTCTCTCTCTCTCTCTCTCTCTCTCTCTCTCTCTCTCAAGGTTATAGCAAACAAACCTTACTTTTCGCCTAGCTCCAAAAACTTCCTTAATAAACCTTCGTTTTATGACCTCTCGTTATATTCTAAGTCCTTCTCTTCCTTAATCCTCCTCTTCCTCCTTCTGCAAAGCTTCTTCGCGTCTATATAATGCCTAATTCCTCCCCCCCCCCCTTCCTCTTAACCCCACCTTACTGGTTGGTACTTTTCTTTCCTTATCAAGTTTCCTCTTCTCACTGAAGGTATATTTTGTCCTGCCCTTTGTTGTTCCTTCTATTTCTCTCTCAATTGTGTCCTGATCCTTTTGTGTAGGTTTGGTGGATAACATTTGTTTTGTTCTTCATAACAGTTAACTAGGTCAAAGGTCTTCTGGTACCTCGTGTCGGCCTGAGAACATATCATCACTCGCTTGTGAGTGCCTCCAGTCGTCACTTGTCATGGACTTACCGTCTGCACACTCATCATTATTGGTTCTTGATTTGGCTCTCTTTCTCCTCCTTCTCTACTTCACTCTCTCCATTTTCTTCTCCCTTCATGTCTATTTACCTCCATTTCTACCTTTCTCCCTGTCTCCTACCATGATTTTTCTCCCTACATATCTCCCCTCCTTCCATGCCTCCATTCCTACATATCTCCACCCTTCCAAGTCTCTTTCTCTCTGTATCTCCCCTCCTTCCATGCCTCCATTCCTACATATCTCCACCCTTCCAAGTCTCTTTCTCTCTGTATCTCCCCTCCTTTCATGCCTTCATTCCTACATATCTCCACCCTTCCAAGTCTCTTTCTCTCTGTATCTCCCCTCCTTCCATGCCTCCATTCCTACATATCTCCACCCCCTTCCAAGTCTCTTTCTCTCTACATCTCCCCTCCTTCCATGCCTCCATTCCTACATGTCTCCTCCCCTCCAAGTCTCTTTCTCTCTGTATCTCCCCTCCTTCCATGCCTCCATTCCTACATATCTCCACCCCCTTCCAAGTCTCTTTCTCTCTATATCTCCCCTCCTTCCATGCCTCCATTCCTACATGTCTCCACCCCCCTCCAAGTCTCTTTCTCTCTGTATCTCCCCTCCTTCCATACCTCCCTACACATCAACACTGACCGTCTTCCTCGCTGCAGGTGTCATGGATACGCCACCGAGACATCCACCTACTGACGGTGGGCAGGTTCACCTACACCTCGGACGAGCGGTTCTCCTCGCGTCACTCGGCCGGTTCTGACGACTGGCTGCTCATGATCCACTACCTCCAGGAGAGAGACGGTGGCATGTACGAGTGCCAGATATCCACCACGCCGCCCCAGAGCCACCTCATCCACCTCTCTGTCGTTGGTGAGTTGCTCTTTTGGCTTATAGGAGGTGCAAGTTCCATGTGATTGTATTTTGTGGGTGAGGGGGGGTGAGATGACTGTATTTTGTGGGTGAGGGGGGTGAGATGATTGTATTTTGTGGGTGAGGGGGGTGAGATGATTGTATTTGTGGGTGAGGGGGGTGAGATGATTGTATTTGTGGGTGAGGGGGTGAGATGACTGTATTTTGTGGGTGAGGGGGGTGAGATTATTGTATTTGTGGGTGAGGGGGGTGAGATGATTGTATTTTGTGGGTGAGGGGGTGATATGATTGTATTTTGTGGGTGAGGGGGTTGATATGATGTATTTTGTGGGTGAGGGGGGTGATATGATTGTATTTTGTGGGTGAGGGGGGTGAGATGATTGTATTTTGTGGGTGAGGGGGTGAGATGATTGTATTTTGTGGGTGAGGGGGTGATATGATTGTATTTTGTGGGTGAGGGGGGTGATATGACTGTATTTGTGGGTGGGTGAGGGGGGTGATATGATTGTATTTTGTGGGTGAGGGGGGTGAGATGATTGTATTTTGTGGGTGAGGGGGGTGATATGATTGTATTTTGTGGGGTGAGGGGGTGATATGATTGTATTTTGGGGTGAGGGGGGGTGATATGATTGTATTTTGTGGGTGTAGAGGGGTGATATGATTGTATTTTGTGTGGGTGTGGGGGGGTGATATGATTGTATTTTGTGGGTGAGGGGGGGTGAGATGATTGTATTTTGTGGGTGAGGGGGGGTGAGATGACTGTATTTTGTGGGTGAGGGGGGGGTGAGATGATTGTATTTTGTGGGTGAGGGGGGTGCTATGATTGTATTTTTGTGGGTGAGGGGGGGTGAGATGACTGTATTTTGTGGGTGAGGGGGGGGGGGTGATATGATTGTATTTTGTGGGTGAGGGGGGTGATATGATTGTATTTTGTGGGTGAGAGGGGGGGTGATATGATTGTATTTTGTGGGTGGGGGGGGGTGATATGATTGTATTTTGTGGGTGAGGGGGGTGATATGATCGTATTTTGTGGGTGAGGGGGGTGATATGATTGTATTTTGTGGGTGAGGGGGGTGAGATGATTGTATTTTGTGGGTGAGGGGGGTGATATGATTGTATTTTGTGGGGTGAGAGGGGTGATATGATTGTATTTTGTGGGTGAGGGGGGTGATATGATTGTATTTTGTGGGTGAGGGGGGTGATATGATTGTATTTTGTGGGTGAGGGGGTGTGAGTTGATTGTATTTTGTGGGTGAGGGGGGGGTGAGATGACTGTATTTTGTGGGTGAGGGGGTGAGATGATTGTATTTTGTGGGTGAAGGGGGTGATATGATTGTATTTTGTGGGTGAGAGGGGTGATACGATTGTATTTTCTTGGTGAGAGGGGTGAAATGATTGTATTTTGTGGGTGAGGGGGTGAGTTGATTGTATTTTGTTGGTGAGGGTATAACGTGATTGTGTGTGTTGGTTAGGATGTGAAACGACTATTTTGTTGGTGGGGGGGGGATAAGAAATAGATTGTATGCTAATTTGCTTCTCTTATTATCCCTTTTTTAATGTATTTTAATTTTCATTATTCTCTCTCTCTCTCTCTTGTTCATCTTCTCTCTATATTTACGTACATTCTATCTACCTTTCTCAGCATCATCGAATCAACGTGTATTCTTATATTTTTTTAGTTTCTAAAGGCCGATATTAGATAATGTAATAGGCCTACTTTTCGTATATGCGCCTTTTTTTTTTATCTTTGCCTCTTTCACACCTCATTTTCCCTAATTATGTCTCGTCTATTTTTTTCATTCTGTATTTCCTCCTATTTAACATCTAGTTTACGCACGTTCTATCCCCCTATTCGACACATAGGATATTTCCTGGTGTTATATATTCGTACATGGTATATATTTATATATAAATATATACCATGTACCATAAATATATACCATACTATGTATATGGTACAAATATGTACATGGTATATATTTATATACCACGTACAACATGTGCCTGTTCTTGCCTCATGTTAATATCACACCATATATACGATTATATATTCCACCATATATGCCATTACCATGTCACCATACTCTATCTTGCTTCATGTTAATTAACATCTGTTATGATCTCAGTCTACAGGAGAAACGAGTCTCCCTCCTTGAGAGTTATTCATGAAGCCTGACCTGATTAGAAGGTCTAGCAAATATTGAGGTGATAACACATATGTAAAATAGTTGCTTACATATGATAAACAATTTAAGATTATGGGCAGTGAAGAAGAAAACAGATAAATGACTGGCTAGGAGATGTGGACATTTTGCTGAAGGCGTGAGGCTCGTTTCTGGAGGACTTTGACCTCACTTGAGGCCAGACATCGCAGGGGAAAGCCGCGCTCCGTTGAGCTCCCGTCAGAAGGGAGAGTGCTGTGGAGGACCCTAGCAGAAGGGTGAAGCACCGTAGTTGCTCAAGGAAACTTCATGTTAGCAGCCTGGAGGAGCTGCAGAGGATCCTGGTAGTTAAGCCCGGAAGAACCTGAAGATATCAGGGTAGTGAACTCCCAGAGGTGGAAGGGGAAGTTCTGGTGGATTACTTGTAGGGAGTTGATAGTGTTTGGTTGTCATTAGCGTGCAAGACGCAGTGAGAGGTGAGTGATTGTTGGCATTCTTATGTCAAGGAGTGTTTTATACTGAAGTTTAGAGTTACAGTCGTAGGCTGGATTACCTACAGACCTATGCGTTCTAGGACTGATAGAGTGATCGATTGATCATTATTGTGTATCAAGGAACATTTATGCTGATATATGTTATTGCATTCACATGCTGATTTTCATTGTACACATTTATATATATATATATATATATATATATATATATATATATATATATATATATATATATATATATATATATATATATATATATTCTCCTGTTGATAGTGCAACGGTGTATGTAGACTTGATCTACTTGAGGAGGTTGATAGTATCAGGTCGTAAATCAGAAGATAGGATACCACTTGGTAAACTGATAATAGAGTTCTGATGGTGTTGGAGTGCAACCTGATTGTAATAGTATAGAGTATAGGATTCATTATTATTATATGTGTGTATGTATTGTGTATGTGCTTTGTCCAGTAAATGTATTCCAATTTGCTGGTGTTTGCCCTTGTCCTAGTGAGGCTTCCCAGGAAATAGTAAAGAAAGAGAGAGAGAGAAAGAACCAAGAACCACTGCTGTGGACAGGGTAAAAGGTAATACTAGTAAGTCATAGGGGATTGAGGAGATCATATCTCATAAGAAGAGAGTGGGGAGTCACAGCGGCTCGAGTGGGTGTGTGCACGTGACAACGAGGCTAAGTGTTGGAGCCGCATCCCCTAAACGTGTGACGTTGAGCCCCTCTCCAAGAGCCAGAAGCACCAAGGGTGATCTCCTAGTGAGATATAAGCACTCTACCGAGTTGTGGGTTGGGTTGTCCGTAGAGAAGGATCAACACGATAACACCACCAACACACAATCTATAATACATCTCACTATAAATGCGCATGTTCATGTCTGATCTTCAGGCTCACCATAGCCCGTGCTACTTGCCCCGTTCCTGTGCCAGGTAAGTCCACTACGGGTTCACCATAACCCGTGCTACTTGCCCCGCTTCTGTGCCAGGTAAGTCCACTACAGGCTCACCATAGCCCGTGCTACTTGCCCTGCTCCTGTGCCAGGTAAGTCCACTACGGGGTCACCATAGCCCGTGCTACTTGCCCCGCTCCTGTGCCAGGTAAGTCCACTACGGGCTCACCATAGCCCGTGCTACTTGCCCCGCTCCTGTGCCAGGTAAGTCCACTACGGGCTCACCATAGCCCGTGCTACTTGCCCCGCTCCTGTGCCAGGTAAGTCCACTACGGACTCACCATAGCCCGTGCTACTTGCCCCGCTCCTGTGCCAGGTAAGTCCACTACGGGCTCACCATAGCCCGTGCTACTTGGAACTTGTGTTCCGAGTAGCTGAATCTAAAACAACAACGTCTGATCTTTCAGGTCATGTTTGAGAACGTTCGCTGTACGTTTCGCGAGTGTATCATACCAGCTTTCTCGAGAGCCTTTTTGTTTCACTTCCGACAGAGCCAGAGACGGTCATCATCGGAGGACCTGACGTGTACATCAACACGGGTAGCCGCTTAGCCTTGACGTGCAGCGTCAAGTATAGCCCTGAGCCGCCAGCGTTTATCTTCTGGTATCATGATGATAAGGTCGGCTTATCTACCCCTCACTCTCTCTTTTTCAGCCTCTCTCTCTCTCTCTCTCAGCCTCTCTCTCTCTCTCACCTTTTCTGTTCTGAGCCGGGGTTTTTCAAACGGAATTTCTTTCTTTTTTTTTTATCCGTTTGGCAGTCTGACACATCCCCGCTCTCTGTATTTGACAATATTTTTTTTCTCGTTTCTCCATAATAAAGGTCAGGGCACATTCAGCCTCGCTTTCCTTGCACTTAGACAAAGGAACTTGGCTGGTGCCTTAACCGCTCAAGCATTTAAAGGAATATGCATGTTATTTTCTTCACAATTATCTTTATAATTTTCTTGACAAGTATCCCTTTACAAAACCTGAGTTTTATATATATATATATATATATATATATATGTCGTACCTAATAGCCAGAACGCACTTCTCAGCCTACTATTCAAGGCCCGATTTGCCTAATAAGCCAAGTTTTCATGAATTAATGTTTTTTCGTCTACCTAACCTACCTAACCTAACCTAACCTAGCTTTTTTTGGCTACCTAACCTAACCTTACCTATAAATATAGGTTAGGTTAGGTTAGGTAGGGTTGGTTAGGTTCGGTCATATATCTACGTTAATTTTAACTCCAATAAAAAAAAATTGACCTCATACATAGAGAAAAGGGTTGCTCTATCATTTCATAAGAAAAAAATTATAGTAAATATATTAATTCAGGAAAACTTGGCTTAATAGGCAAATCGGGCCTTGAATAGTAGGCTGAGAAGTGAGTTCTGGCTACTAGGTACGACATATATATATATATATATATATATATATATATATATATATATATATATATATATATATATATAATAAACTACACGTGCCATGAAGACGGTTCGAACATGAACCACATAAAGGCTGAACAAATCTTCCGGATTCGCAGGAAAACGGCGATAAATTCACGGATTGTTGCAGCCTTCAGAACGCTGCGAGTAATCCGGATTTTGGCAGAGCTATTTCGCTAGTTCCGCTCCCGTATGGTGACGGTTGGATGACACACTTCATGCCTTATTTATTTTCACTTTGGCTTTCCTCTCGATTTTTTTTCCACCGCTTTTTTCCAGGTTTTCAGTAAGGTTTTTTGTTTTTTTCTGCCCCTCTCTTGGATTTTTTTTGCTGTTTCTCATTGTCTATTTCGTGTTTCTGTTTTTTTTCTTTAACTTCTCGTTTCTTATTTCTATTTCCACTTTTTTATTATATCCCAATTTTTCATTGAAGGATATTTGGATGTTCTGCTTTGTCCAGCTCCTCTCCCCTGTCTCTGTTGTTCTTCAAATCTCCAACCCGTCACCCAGCCCGTCACCCCGTCACCCACCCGTCACCCCGTCACCCAGCCCGTCACCCACCCCGCCACCCCGTCATCCACCCCGTCACCCAGCCCGTCACCCACCCGTCACACCTATCTATCTATCTACACATTATATCTACTTAACCTCTCTCACTTACTAGCCCCTTAATCCATTATATTATTCTCCCGTCCTGTCCTTAATGTGCCCATTCTTCATGTTTCATTTCCCTCCCTCTCTCTCTCCCTTCTGACCACCCCTCTTCCTTCCCCCCTTTCCCCTCACTGGCACCCCTATTCCTTCCCCTCGACGCCCCCTACCCCCCCCCCCATCTAATCCGAAACCCGGTCATCAGCGACCTCCCTCATCCGGTCGCTCACCGGAAGCAACACGCGTGAATAGTGCTCCAGCCTTATCTTTATGGAGTGGCCGACTTACAGCCAGGCCTCGCCACAGTGTGTGTGTGGGGGGGGGGGGGTGACTTACAGCCAGGCCTCGCCACAGTGTGTGGGGGGGGGGGGGGGGTGACTTACAGCCAGGCCTCGCCACAGTGTGGAGGGTGACTCCACACTGTGGAGTCACCCACAGTGACTCAATAGGTTGCACTTACAACGTTGGTTACTATAAGGTATAACATATACGACCTATAAGCTGGGAGACGGATTGTACCATCACATAATGGTCGTGTGTGTCGCTGTGAATACTGTCACACGGCTCACCTAGCAATTGTCTAATTTGAAGGTTCTTCTCTGTTCCGGTACTCTTAGTTATTTCCTACCCAGCCCTCCTTCAGTGTGTGTGTGTGTGTGTGTGTGTGTGTGTGTGTGTGTGTGTGTGTGTGTGTGTGTACTCACCTAGTTGTATTCACCTAGTTGTGTTTGCGGGGGTTGAGCTTTGCTCTTTCGGCCCGCCTCTCAACTGTCAATCAACTGTTTACTAACTACTTTTTTTTCTACACCACACACACCCCAGGAAGCAGCCCGTGACAGCTGACTAACTCCCAGGTACCTATTTACTGCTAGGTAACAGGGGCGTTCAGGGTGAAAGAAACTTTGCCCATTTGTTTCTGCCTCGTGCGGGAATCGAACCCGCGCCACAGAATTACGAATCCTGCGCGCTATCCACCAGGCTACGAGACCCCCGTGTCTCGAGGTGTGTGTGTGTGTGTGTGTGTGTGTGTGTGTGTGTGTGTGTGTGTGTGTGTACTCACCTAGTTGTGCTTGCGGGGGTTGAGCTCTGGCTCTTTGGTCCCGCCTCTCAACCGTCAATCAACTGGTGTACAGGTTCCTGAGACTACTGGGCTCTATCATATCTACACTTGAAACTGAGTATATGGAGTCAGCCTCCACCACATCACATCATGTGTGTGTGTGTGTGTACTCACCTATTTGTGCTTGCAGGATCGAGCATTGACTCTTGGATCCCGCCTTTCCAGCAATCGGTTGTTTACAGCAATGACTCCTGTCCCATTTCCCTATCATACCTAGTTTTAAAAGTATGAATAGTATTTGCTTCCACAACCTGTTCCCCAAGTGCATTCCATTTTTCCACTACTCTCACGCTAAAAGAAAACTTCCTAACATCTCTGTGACTCATCTGAGTTTCCAGTTTCCACCCATGTCCCCTCGTTCTGTTATTATTACGTGTGAACATTTCGTCTATTTCCACTTTGTCAATTCCTCTGAGTATTTTATATGTCCCTATCATGTGTGTGTGTGTGTGTGTGTGTGTGTGTGTGTGTGTGTGTGTGTGTGTGTGCGTGCGTATGTGTGTGTGTGTGTGCGTGCGTATGTGTGTGTGTGTGTGTGTGTGTGTGTGTGTGTGTGTGTGTGTGTGTGTGTGTGTGTGGTGTGTTTACTATCTATGCTTATAGGATCGAACTCTCTAACCTTCAACTGTCTAATGTAATAACCCCAGACCAATTTCCGTGTGGTGCGTGTGCGCCAATGAACTTTACCTAATCTGCTGTACGTTGTGTGTGTGTCGGTGTCGTGCAGCTGGTGAGTTACGAGAGGACGAGGGGCGGGGTAGTGGTATCGACGGAGAAGGGCCTGGTGACCACCTCCCGCCTCCTGGTGCAGTTCGCAGAGACCCGCCACACTGGACTCTATACATGTTCCCCGGCCAACTCCGAACCCAAGAGTGTCAACGTTCATGTTATAGCAGGTAAGGCCAGGTAGGGGGTAGGGTAGCAGGAGAGTAAGGGAGGGAAGGAGGGAGGGAGAGAGGGAGAGAGAGAGAGAGAGAGAGAGAGAGAGAGAGAGAGAGAGAGAGAGAGAGAGAGAGAGAGAGAGAGAGAGAGAGAGAGAGAGAGAGAGAGAGAGAGAGAGAGAGAGAGAGAGAGAGAGAGAGAGAGAGAGAGAGAGAGAGACAGAGAGAGAGAGTCAGGAAGTCAGAGAGAGAGAGAGACAGAACTCACTGAGTTATTTAACCTCAGGAACGCGTGTGTTACTATATAAGTTCCAATTATTAAACCTAACCTTCCTGAACCAGAATATACACAGACAGGTTTACCTTCCTGCTCAAGGTATATTCACTAAGAATTTACGCTAATTATCTATCAATTATCAAAGTATACATACTAATTATATACTAGGGTAAAGTGCCTCCTAAAACCCCCCTTATTACTCCGTTATTACTGTCGTTGAAACACTAGTTACCAGAGGCATATAATTACATAATATTTGATTATTTTATGTAAAGTGTTTTAAATAATATAACGGAAGTTTATAAATTATATCTTATGTGTATTTTATCCCCTTGATCTTATCTGTGTGGCAGTAGAGCCCTTTCTCTCCCTCAGGCTTTGGAATTACTGTATCTACAAATGTAAATACAGTAATAAATACAGGAGTTACCTTAGCAAAATTACTTTTTATATTTATGTGAATTATAAGATCTATTTGATCACTAATTAATTTCAGATCGATCTTGTGAAGGTGAGGGATTAGGCTGTGTCATCAGTCATTATGATTCGTCATGTGAATGACAGTGTTGACAGTTGTCAGGCAATTGTGAGGTTATTGTGGGTTTAGGCGACGTCAATGTTCGCTATGTATTTATTTGGCTATTTAATTGTTTCCACTTTTTGTGTGCCTACCTGTTATGCTTTCTTTTCCTTTCTCTTTTTAGATATATAACACTGGTGATATTCTTCTCCTAACTCTCTCTGTCTCTGTCTCTCTGTCTCTTTATGCCTCTCTCTGTCTCTCTATCTGTCTCTCGCTCTCTGTCTATGTATCTGTCTCTCTGTCTGTCTCTGTCTCTCTCTCTCTCTGCCTCTCTCTGTCTCTCTGCCTCTGTCTCCC